TTGTATTTTAGATATTGTGATGATTTTAGAGTGCCTTTTAATTTCCGTGTTTTTCAAAACTTTGTTTCAAAGCTTGGAAAATAAGTAAACATGGGCTTTTTTAATAATATTCAGTCAGGTTTCTCTGTTATTAAATATAAAGTACAGGATTTGTTAGTTATTTAAAATGTTGATACATGAACTGCCTTTGGATTCTGGCTTGTATTGATTTCGGTCTAGTTTTATGCTTCATTTATTATTAGATTTTTCCGAAGATTTCATTTCCATTTTTTTTAATGCTTTTATGCTGAGGACAGATAAACTGAAAGGGGTAGGCCATATTTAAAGTAGATTCAGTGTGGATCATGGCTTTTTTTAAGTGTGTTAATTAAAGTATAAATGGTAAAACATTCTTTAAAACAAACTAGTTGGATGTCATTTGTAGTAGTTGATATTCCCAGTGGAATTATGTGATTACATTATGGGAATATATTAGATGAAAACTATGACGACAAGAGGTTGGTCAGAGATTCACAATGTTGATCATTTCAATGTAGAGTCCAGTCATAAATAGCGACATTATTTATTCTTTATAACCAGCTTCTAAATGAAGGATGCTCTGTTTTTCTTTGTTTCATATCATAGAAAACTGATTCTTTGTGAAAATAATTGTTAGTTGCAGCCCTACTCTCCAGAAAAGCCGCAATTTCATCACATACATTCCCTGGATCAGACTATCCTATACACAAGTATTTATTTTGTCTGTGGGATAATGTCAGTGTCTGCTTTGGGCGTCAATTGACATCAAATGGCAGAATTAAAGGATCTCACTTAAGGGATCATATGTTAGTCACAGGCACAGGAAATACAACTCTGTCCACTCCTGTAACAAAGCCCTGTGTCATGTCAATAAAATGGATTACACACCGGCTTCTGGGCATTTCAGTTTTCCAGGCATGTAGTTCAATTGGCTTCATGAAACTACAACATGTAATACTGTGAGAAACTCGGTGTAGCTCTGATAAAGAATTCAGTCATAACATGAGCCCTTTTAAAGAAAACAAACCTCTCCAAACAACCACTCAATAGAAGAGATATATTCGCAAAAAGCACCATACAAGTGGATTGCATAAAATGACAGGAGGGCATGGACAGTTAACGGCCGAGTTGCGAACAGCCGCACTGACAAGAGATTATAGCAAACAGCTTTTTGTTTGGATCAAACATCCAAAGCATGACAACCCCATGTGGAGTCCCAGTGTGTGTCTCCAGACTGTTGTACGTCACCGTGCCAAACGCTGTGCAGCAGCCACGCATCTGACTACATTTTTACATTTGAATGGCCTTCTTTTAACATAAATATACACCTGCATGTGATCTGTTGCATGTTTGAGTTTAAAAAAGCTGAAAGCTGTAAACACTTTCAATGACACTCATTGTCCTTTGTGATAGCTGAATACATGCAGTACTCCGTTGGCCGAGTGCCTTTTTGATCAGACGTTTTTAGACAGAGACAGATGGGCTGAAGTTTCTT